TGGGCTCCTTCTTTGGTTGGGCTTGGATGCAGGTGCCAGCAGCATCTGTCTCCTGTGACACTTGCCCAGCCTGGCATCCCCTCATGCCGGGGCTGGAGCAAGGAAAGCAATCATTTCCATCTCCTGCTCTGCTCTCCCTGCCCCTCTCCCTGAGATCTTGTGGTATTTGTCCCTTTTGGGTTCAGGTCCCTCCTGGTGCCAGGCAGCCCCGTGGTGGAGCAGGGCAGAAAGCTGATCTCTGCACGATGGGCTTCTGCTTCCACTTCTGCTTCTCACCAGCAGCTGTGGGAGGCTCGTGCCTGGCAGAGCCCTCTTCTTGCTGCTCTTTGGGTACAAAAGCAGCCATCACAGTGTCCTCCGAACAGGCCTCTTGGGCAGCAGGTCCCAGCGACCCGCAGAGGGGCTTTCGGTGTATGGGAAGGAGAATTGTGGGGTTCCCATGCACGTTGTGTTTTAGGACTGTGGGCAGTGGAGGGATTGGCAGTGGGGGTGGAAAGCTCACGTGCAAAGCTTAGCCTTGGTTCTAGCTGGTGCACCAGGCCTGGAGATGTTTGTATGTCTTCTCATGACCCTAATTCTGGCTTGGTACCACTTTGCTGTGCTAAAGGGATGAGTGTGGCCAGGAGGGGTGAAGAGCATCCCTGGAGGCTGAGGTGCTTCTGGCAGGACGGGAGGAGCATGGGGCCTTGCAGGATGCTGAGCTCTGGAGGAGGGCACAATGAAACAGGTGAGGGGTTTGGTGGCATCAAAAGGGAGCTGAGCACCCAGGGCAGTCCATGGCACCCAGGACCATCCATGGTACCCAGCATCATCCATGGCACCCAAAAGCATTTGTGGCACCCAGGGCTGTCCGTGACACTCAGGACTGTCTGTGGCACCCAGAACCGTCTGTGGCACCCAGGACTTTCCATGGCATCAAAGAACATCCATAGCACACAGGGACCATCCATGGTACCCAAGACGGTTCATGGCACTCATGATAGTCCATGGCACTCAAGATCGTCCATGGCACCCGGGATAGCATATGGCATCCAAGAGCATCTGTGGCACGCAGGACAGTCCATGGCACCCAGGACCACCCATGGCACCCAGGACAGTCCATGACACCAAAGACATGGCACCCAAGAACTTCCATTACACCCAGGACCATCTGTGGCTCCCAAGGCAGTCCATAGCACCGAAGAGCATCTATGGCAATGAGGACCATCCATAGAGCCCAGGGCAGTCCATAGTACCCAAGATCATCCATGACACCAAAGGCAGTCCATATGGCACCCAGGATAGTCCACAGCACCCAAGACTGGCTGTGCCTAGTGCTTGTGTCTACTGGGGAGACCAGTCAGCCCTGGCTATCTACACTGCTGTCTTGTGCCAGCTAACAGGGCTACCTTAGCCCTGCCAGCTCATGGGCCAGTGAGGCCGTGCTAGACCTCAAATCTTGGTTCTTCTGGTACTGGGAGACATGGTCAGCCTCCAAAACTGTCCTTTGTGGTGTTTTCTAAGGCCTTCCCTTGTGCTGGAGGAGAATACGCATCTCCTTGCCCTTCCTTCCCTGGGGCTCCTGGTCCTTGGCCTGTCCTGGAGAGGACATCCCAGTGGTCTGAGCCATGCTGGGACTCGCTGTGCCCCTGGATGGGACTCGCTGTTCCCCCAGTTGGGGGATCGGCTCAACCCTCCCAGTTACCCCTATTCCCCAGGCATGGCATGGAGGCTTTTGCCTCTCTGCTGTCCTCAGCCGACCCGTCCCCATCCCTGTCCCCATCCTGCACCGGCAGCTGCCCATCTGCCCCCGCGCTGGCCGGGCACTTGTCTTGCCAGGCTGCCCACAGGTCCCTTTCCAGGACCCAGGCTGAGCTCCTGTCTCCTTTCTCTGCTATAACTGGAGTTACCGGTGCCAGGCACCCACTCACAGGCGGGCTGGGAAGGCGGGAATGTGCCCACAGCGACATTTTTGGGGCTAAACTGGTTGCAAAATAGAAACCAAGAGGCGGGAAGGCTATTCTGGGGCCGGCTGCTTGGTTTATTTTCTTCTGCTGCAGAATAAAACCCCTGGGACGGGGCCAAACCTCACGAATCGAGGGCCAAACTGTCAGCAGAGGTAAACCCAGCCTTGCTTTGTCCTTCTTTGGGTGGCCGAGACCCCTGCATGCACGCTGTCCCTCGGGGGACCTGCTGTCCCCACGGTGGCTGCAAGCTCATGGTGGGGTGCCCATCACCCTGGCATCTGGGCAGGGTCATGCAGCCTTCATCGGTGTGGGAAACCCCCATCCCTTTCTCTTCTTTCCCACCACCCGTGGGGTCATTTCAGCCTAAATCCCCCCCCGTCTGCTCCCCGGCACCCCCAGCCCCACGCGCTTGCCGGTTGCAAGCTCAGCTCTGGCTCTTCCCGGCGGCAGGAAGCAATTTGTCAGCGTGGGATGGGGCTGTGTCACGGG